AATTCAGCATTCACCTAAGAGGATGATGACAATCTGTCATCAGCCAAACATAACTGTCTCATCAAACACTAATAAAGCTTAGGCAGTGACAGTTTTTATACATTTTGGTAGATCTTTCTTCTTCAGAGATCCTATCTCACACTGGCTATTAATCTGGTTACTTATGACAGCACAGCTATAGTCACCTGCCATAATTACCACCTCTCTTCTTTAAAGCTCATAAGGAAAGACAGCGAAGAGTCATGCCAGGCAGAAGACTTCTATCATAAATTCAGTTGCCAAGTGCCAAAGGCCCAAGTCACCCAACACCATCTCTCAGACCTGAATTTTAGAAAGGCACTTTTGCTTTATATTACAGTATCACTGCCCTGATTATAATTGCCACAACACCTCACACATCTGCCTCAACAACACAGATCTCCAACCTTATTTCCCTTCAGATTACATGTGTACAGCTCTCTAGAATCAAGAGGTCAGCTGGGTGCTGCTGTGGGCATAAGGTCACCGTAAACCAACACAGCTCAGTAACAGATGAGACAAGTGACACAAAAATCTGCCGGCAAGATACACATCTGCTTCACAGAAGTCTTCAAAAATACACTGTATGGGTATCCAGAAGAAAATATCAAATAAAATATCCTCTTCATGTCGCTTTCAGACCATCTATTTTATTAAAAATTTGGAACAACCATTACTTTTCTCTGGCAGGCAGTGGTCCACACAAGCCTGCAAATCTCTGAAGTTGTTGCCATTTCCATAACAGCCACCGTAGATGAACTCCTCACACCTCATTGAGCTCAAGTTAAAGGCATATCTTCTTAGATGACTCCTGCAAGGTCCTCCATCAGCCTCCATCCGGCATAATTTGGGTACTTCTGCAAGAAATACAGTTTTACCCTCTGTAAACCCTTTGTACTCCCCGTATTACTGAGCAACGTGGTAGTGGAGACTACTCTATTACTCCGGCTGCAGGCAAGTCCCTGCTTGTCCCACTACCTATTCTTTAATAAAGTGGGATAAGACTTAAGGGAGGAATCCAAAGCCTTAATTAGCAGTTAGGTTTCTCTGCATCAGGGAGAAGCTGCCACAGGCAGGAGTGAGCAAGGGGGTGGGTGCAAAGCATCCCCCCAGCAGTACACACACCACCACCCTCCACCACCCCCCAGGGGTCACAGAAGCGCCGCCAGCCCCTGCCGCCCCGGAGGCACTTCAAGGAACCCCGGCGGGTCAGGGGAGGCTGGCGGGCCGATCCCCGGACTCACTCTTGATGGTCCAGCAGCTCTTCTCGCAATCGTCGAGAGTGAGGAAGTTGTTGGCGTTGCCGTGGCAGCCCCCGTAGGTGAACTCCTGGCAGCTCTGCGTGTACCTGTCGTAGTACCAGCGCGGCACCAGGGCGCGGCAGGGCCCCTCATCGGGGGGCAGCAGGCAGGAGCGCTGCTTCTCTGCGGGAGACACCAGCGAACGGGGCTGAAGCCACCTCGGCGGCGGCGGAGGCCCCGGCCCCGGTAGCCGCCCTCGGGATCCCACCGAGCGCCCGCTCCTACCTGTGAGGGTGCGCGGGGCCAGGGCTGCGCAGGCCAGCGGCAGCAGCAGCGCGGGCAACGGGAGGCGGCAGCGGGCGGCCATGTCGCGGCGGTGGAGGGCGGGAGAGTGGGTGGGTGGCAGTGGGGTCCCGGGAGCGATGGTGCTGCCCGGCCCGACGGCAGAGCTTTATATGCGCCGAGGCGGCTTCCCCGCGCCGCCTCCGTCCTTGCGCATGTAGTGGGAGGGGAAGGTCTGATTCAGCGGGGCAGCAGCTCCCCGCTGACCCGGCCATCACTGGGGCGCGGCAGGCTGCGCGCCTGCGTGAGCCCGAGCGTCGGGGGCCGCAGGAAGCCCCCGCTCCGCCACGGCCGTCGGGGGTCCCACGGTCGGGGGAGCAGCAGGGGCCGGGCGGAGGATTCTCCGCTGCGGGGAGCTGGCCGGGGTCCAAGGCTGTCCCGTCCCTGTCTGCGTCTTCCTGTCTCCCCCGACCCCCTCACATTACGGGATGATGCTCAAAGCGCATTTCCTGTTAATCACGGGGAAATCCGAGACTGGCCACTTAGCGAGAGTTCTCTCCCACCTCGCCGTCGCCCCCCCGGTGGTCGCTCCCTGTTTGGAGGCTCCGGGCGGCTGGACCCTGAAATCCAACCTTGGGACCCTTCGGCAGATCCTGACTCAGCCGGGTCAAGCACAGGCAGTGCCGCTAGAGAAAACACCAACAAACCAACGTCACTAATTTAGTACCGTTGTGTATAACGCCAATGAACTTGAGAAAACCGGAGCACCGTCAGCGGGTTTGGACTCCCGGGAAACCCAAGGGCTGAATGGTTGAAACCTCTAGCCAGTTCAAAGAGAGCTGGATTTCAGAAAATATCATGACCTGTTTTACTCTGTAGGTTTTAGCCCCACCAGGCAATCCAGTGTGATCTGGGAGAGGAGGGGGTAAGCAGAGAACAGCATACTTTCCCTGTCTAATCTATTAGAGACATTACATTAATTAGTGTTTACTCCAGATATACTACAGTAAGGGAGATAAGAGTGGCTGCAAATTAGGCGTGCACTCTATAGATAACAATAAATTAATCTGATCTCCTATTGTTCTTCTCCGCTCCCTTAACAGCAACTGTGCCAGGCCCCAGTCCTTCAGGCAGGCTCTGCCCTCGATTGGATTGTGATACAGGGCCCTTGAAATCTGTGGCCTGCAGGAAAGAAGCCACAGTACGTACAGGCTAAAAGGAGAAGGAACTTCATAGCAACCTCATTATTTCAGGAAAGGACTTTCTGTCCATGGCTTCTCTGATTTTCTTATATTGTGGAGGATTACAACCTAGTTTTCTGACATAATTTTGTTTTTCATAAAGACAAGAAAAAGAGCAAATTTAATCCCTACCCCACCTATGTGGCTTCTGAAAGGCTATGAGTATCACCTCTCCCTCCTTCTTCAGTACTGTTCCTTTTTTAGAATCCCCAGTTGCCAAAAGATAAGTGGGTGCTTTAATGCAAAAAAAAATAAATAAATAATAATAAAAAAAAAATAAAAAGGTACAGTTTGAGGCATCACCGAAGGACACATCCGCAATGTTTTAGAAACTTACAGCTACAACTGTTAGCAACAGGTGTCCTCATTTTTAGGGGTTTGTTCAGCTTATTAAGCACAGCAACTGTAATAAAGCATATGTCCCTCTGGTAGGAAAGAACACACAAACAACATACACTTTACATTTCCAGGAAAAAAAAAAAAAACAACAAAAAACAACCAAAAAAAACCCATCAAAAGGCCATCCTTCTAATATTAGGAAACTCTCAAGTGATTTTAACATGACTGGAGTGATGTCCTTTAGCTTTCATTGGATTTTGTTGGAATTGCAAAGAAAGTCATTGAAATGCCACTTTAAACAGCAGCAAAATGAATGCTGTCATGCAAATACCATTTTCCCTATTTCCCATTTCCTCTGTGCGCATACACATCAAAGTTTGAGCTAAACCCACCTATCCGTCAGTGCTGCAACACAGTGCAGTATTTATTCAGCAGCTTCTTCACTGGAACAGCAAAGTTCACTTAGATTAGATGAATATCTGTAAAAATGGATAAACGTGAGTAAAAGAACTAGCACAGCAAGTGGTACAAAGTCCTTTACTCACTGCCATAAGTGGAGCTAGTCATGTCAGCAGACAGCTCACCATTTCAGGGTCATCAATAGCAAGCTGCAGCTGTCCCTCTCACCCTAACCACATTAACAGTGTGCCAGAGCCCATCCTCAGCTCACTCCTGCTCCCTACACCTGCCACCACCACTCCACACACTCTCTGCCTCCCTTCACCACAACGTTTGTGCTCCCACCAACAGCCCTGGCTCGCTGGAGCCTCTGGCCCCCTGGCTCCTTCCACCCCTTTCATCTGGCACCAGGACCAGCTGCTGGTGGGGTTTGGGGTTGCAGCTGCCAGTCTAGATGATGGGGGTGTAGAAGCTGCATACCAACGACTGGGAGGGGAGAGGAACTGATTTTAGTTAGCTGTCTAAATAAAATAAATGCAAAGCCCAAGAGCACTATAGGAGAAGCACTGGAGAAGAAGGATGTAAATCTTGCATACTGCTGACAGCTGCTTACATCTGGTGAGTGGGGAGAGCAGAAAGGAATCTCTGTAAGATTAAAAGCCAGAGGTAGAAATAGGGAGGTTTGAGTGCCTATAAGGAATCTTTGAAGTGCCAGATAACAGGACTCATGCAGGCCCATTTTAATGGCCTGAGCTTTGTTCAGTTTAAAAGGTCGTGAATTCTGCCTCCACCGGTACTGCAGGAGACAGCTGCTAGGATCAGAAGACGCACAGGAGACGACCCTGTTTCAAAAAATCATAGTGCCCAATTTGGGATCTAGACCTCGAAAGTATATATAACCACAGGAGAAGAATTTCCTAGCTCCTTCTTGTTCCTTTCTGAACCCATCACTTCTCTTGTGGGGAGTGCTTCATCCTCAACACCAGTCGTAATACCATGATTCCAGAGACACTTGTTGCAGGTCGGGCACAACAGCCCTCTCATGCAGAGCTGCAATTGTGTTTTGAAGACATAGTTACCAACAAAAGTTGCTGTCTGCCACTGAGGCTGGCCACTCGCCCAAGGCACTTGACCTGAGAGCAGTTCCTTCCCCTCTCTACCTTTTAATCCATTCCATGTATAGTTTTAATACACAAGTATGCAGGAACGTGCCCATACAAACCACCTGCTGCTACGTTAGCTGCTGGGAAAAGGAACACGGAGCCCAGGGATCCTGGTGTCAGAGGCAAGCAAGAATCACTGCGAGGGCCAGGAGGAGCAGAAGGAGGTGGCAGGAGACCAAGACCTCACCCCTGGGCCAAACCACTAGTCCGACCTTTCTGCTTTTGCCCCACGGTGGTGGTGAAGCGAGAGGGGAGATGCCGGCACCGGAGGGTCGCTGCAGCTCTGCACTCCTGCCGCCGGCTGCCCCTCGGGGGGCCGGGCGGCGGGGCCGAGCGCCCTGCCTGGGGCAGCGCCGGAGCGGCCGGACCCTCCCTGTGCCGGCAGGGCCCATGTCAACGCCCCGGCGGCCCGACAGCAGGGCCGGGGCCGGCGGCGGGCTCTAATCCGGTTAGGGGGGATTAGTGTGGCTGTTTAAAGGCCGGGAAAGGGGCGCCAAGCGCGTCGGGGAGGAAGCGGCAGCCGCGGAGCAGCGGTGCAGCCCGGACGGCACAGTGTGAGTGAGCCCGGGGGCGGGCCAGGGCGGCAGTCCCACCGTCCCGCCGTCCCGCGCCCGCCCGGGGGCTCCGGCCCCGGCGCCCTCGCTGCCCAGAGGTAACCCTGTGTCCTCCCTCCCTCTGCGCTTTGGCAGTGTAGACGATGCCAGCCATCAACATTGAGGATCTGAGCGAGAAGGACAAACTGAAAATGGAAGTGGAGCAGCTCCGGAAAGAAGTGAAGCTGGAGAGGCAGCCGGTGAGTGGCCGCAGAGAAAGGCTGCCCTGCTGCCGGGGTGGACGGCAGAGCCGAGGCCGAAGCGGGTTGAAGCCCGTTACTCCCCGGGGAAGCTACAGGGCCTTATACGAAGCCCGGGGCAGGAAGAAAGAGCACGTCGGGCAGGCGGCGTGGCCGGGTGCAGCGGCTCAAGCGCGGAGCCGGAGTGTCCCGTCCCGCCGCGGCGGTCCCGGAGGAGGCGAGGGCAAAGGGATTTGGGGAGCCGCTTCTCAGGACAGCCCTGGGACGGGCAGGCTTTGGATCGACACGTCCTGTCAGCCTCTTTAGGGCCAGGACCGGGGACGGTGGTGGCGACATACCACAGCTAGTGCCGTGTCGCAGCGCCAGTCCTTCATGGGGGTTGCCGTGGAGCGGGGGGAAAGGGGCGCGCCATCCCGGGGACAAGGCGCCCGAGGGGCCGACACGGGCCCGCCGGGTGCGGCTGCTCCCATTGCATTTGGCACCTTTGGCTTCCCCTCCCTTGTGAGTCCCAGGAGCCCAGTGCCAGCAAAAAGCAGCCTTCCCCGACGAGGGAGGAGCGCGTCAAGCTGTTTCCCTCCTCTGTAAAACGCATTGGGACTTGGCAGTGCCAGGTGAGCGGGTGCTGTGCGGCGGGAAGTCTTCCTACGGCACCGCTCCCTGTCCTGTTACTGGACCCGTGCCGTCCCGTCCGGGACCGCATCGCGTCTCCGAGCTGTGGAGCTGCGGCAGCCCTCTCCCCTCTCAGGGCAGGCTGTGCGGTGCCCGGGCAGAAGGTAGGATCCAGGGAGTGCTGGTGCTGGGCCACCATCCATCCATCCATTCATTCATCCATACCACCTCATCTGATAGAAACATTGGTCTTTTGAGTCATTTCACACTGATTGTTCCTTTCCGCAGGTGAAATGGTGTCCAGTGAAAATTTTGTATTTTTGCACATTTTCTATAGATGAAAGACATGCAGGACTGATCTTGCTCCATGATAAAACTAATACTAATTTTCTTTAATATTCTTCTTATTATTTATTTCTTTCTTTTTCTTTTTTTTTTTTTTTTTAAAATTCTGCATGCCAATATAAGCAAACTACATCTGAACAAATGATTCTAGTTAGGACTAAAAATACATTTATATGAGGGAATCGGTGGCATTAGTCACTCTAATAAAATTGCATGTGTAGGTATTTAGCCCATAAAATAAGAAAGCCACATTCAGTTTTAGGTGTCAGTTATCAGTGACTGTGGGTGTTACAGTATAGTCTAAAGCTCCACCAGTACTGAGGGCTCCAGAACCAAGTACTGTAGATGTCTGTGTCATCCCTCAGAGAGCTCTCAAACAACTGAAATAAACTCTGTAGGATGTACAGATTTTTATTTTAATAATAATAATTTAAAATTCTTGTCTTTGTTTTGTTTTTGAATAAACCAGAAGCCTGTTCACTTCAGGGAAATGGGTATTTTCACATCACCTGTAGTAAAGCACAGACAACATCTTCAATTTTAGTAGTGAGTTACAGAGGAAGTCTCTCTGTGAGAAGGTAAGCTGTGTTGTGGTTGCCGCAGTCCTGTGGTAGCTGTATGGCTGATACAAGGACAGGGAAATGCAGAAGCCACACTTCTGTGGTCACCAGAAGTAAAAACATTTAGCGAAAGTTTTCTTCACTCTTTCTTACACATTTATAGCACTATGAGGAAATGTTCTTTGGAATAATTTTTCAAATTAATAAAAATGTCTGTGTATTTAAGCAGACATTTTTTTCTTATATGTGAAAATGATCCTGATAGTGCTGACTGAAGTAAAACAAACCCTGGTTCTGCATGTGCATTGGAGCACAACTTTACTATGGTATAAGGTGCCCCAGTTGGAATGAACAGGATTTGTAAGGTACACAAGAGCAAGGCACAAGTAACGGGATTTGTATGCCCAAATTCTTTGCTGTAAGGCAGCTAGAGGTAGTTAGACCTTATTTTATACATCACTTAATTGGAAACTAACTCTGAATTCTTTCTGGTGGCTTAAAGCTTAATTTTGCACAGGCCACACTGTTGGTCTGTGGTACAAGGTAAATTCATGGGTTCTCTTGTTATGACTTTACCTATGGAGTAAAATATAACTAACAAAGAAGGCCTTAAATTAGAAACACTAGTCATCTGGTGGTCTGGCCAGCAGCTGGTTCCTGCTGCTGACTCTGCACTACTGTGCCTCTGCAGGGATTACAAGTGGGAAGGGAGGAGGTGGGGACAGAGCCAGGGGCCCGTCCTCAGACATGTCACGCATTCGAGCACCTAAAGGCAGTTTCTGCTGACAGAGAAGGGAAACTGAGAGGTATGTGTGCACAAGGATCCTCTGGAACTGGTGGGATTTGCTTGTGTGCCCTCAGGCTCCACTGGCACTGTTACTATATGTACTGCATGTGCTTCCTCCTGTCTCAGTGAACGAAACTAAAGCCATTTCTTCTTCCCAGGCGGTTCTCTGTGGGCTTACCTACACCAGTGCTAGTCTTCTATGAATGTCAAAGCAGAGTGTCATGCATGTTATGCTCTCTCATAACACAACAGGCTGTTTTATTAACCGTTGGTCAAAATAACCCCAGGTAACCTGTAAGTAAATTGTCTTTCCCAGCTAGGTCTTTACTCCCATACATGACCTACAGCAGCTATTATAGAACCACAAGGTGAGAATTTGTATTACCACTGAAAAAAAGTAATTATTGAATGCTTTGTCTGGGAAAGACACTTGAAATCATCAAGACTTGGAAACTGACTTGAAAGTTATAGATCCCGAACCCATTGACCGTAAGTCACGCTGATGCCAACGGAGGGTGTGATCTACATCTTAAAAACCTGTATTACTTTATTTTAAAACAAACAAAAAAACCCCAACAGTTTAACTATGCAACAAGTGCTGTTCTGAGCGGTATACACATTCGCAGTGGTACTCACATGTTCTGTGAACACTGGGCTGTGAAAAAGTGGAAAGAAGCTGAGTCTGCACGTGCTAAGCGCTGGCTTTGTGCTCAGACCTTGTGTATCTGGTTGGGATGTGCACCGTAACGCAGCTGCTTCTCTGTTCTTTCTCTCGAGGTGTCCAAGTGCTCCGAAGAGATCAAGAACTACATCGAGGAGCGCTCGGGCGAGGACCCGCTCGTAAAGGGGGTTCCCGAGGACAAGAACCCCTTCAAGGAGAAGGGAGGTTGTGTCATCGCTTAGGAAACCCAGCTCGGCGCTTGTCACTTGTACCCGTAGGGAGTCACTAGCGTGTCCCCACTGCCGCCGGCCCGTGTTGAACGAGCACAGAAGCGGGTTTCTATTTTTTTTTTAATTCTTTTCTCTTTTCCTCACAAAAATAAAGAACCCTTTCCCCCGAAAGCAGCCGAGCCCCGCGTCGCTCGCTTGGCAGGGCCGGCTGCCCCCCACCCCAGCCTGGCCGCTGCTCTTAGCCCGGCGGGGCCGGCTCCTCTGGTTTCGCGGCGCCACTTTCGCCACCCGTTTATCGGTAGCTTCATGGCTGTTCGTTGTCATTAAAGAAAACCTGTCGGTAACCCGAGAGCGTGCCGTGGCTTGCAGGGGGAGAGAGGAGCTGGAGGCGGGACGGGACAGGGCGGTGCAGGGCCGCCGTTAAAGCTCGTCGTGCCGGGCAGCGGCCCTCTCCCCGCGGAGCGGAGGGGACTTCGCGGGCGCTGGCGACCACGGCGCTGCACGGCAGCGGGCGACGGAGGCACTTGACCTCGGCGCTGCGCGGCGGCCGCTCGGGGCGGCGGGACGTGGGGTGCGGCAGTGACAGGCCGCAGCACCACAGCTTGCGGGCGGACCTTAGGAAGGTACCGGAGCGGGGGGAGGCGGCGGACAGGCCCGGGAGTGCCTCTGGACACCCAGCGAGCAGCCCGGCGCGGCTCGGGATGTGTTCAAAGAAGTAAAACTTCCCCCTGCTAGTGTCGTAAACAAGCCATGTGCTCCCCCCGTGTGACACTGCGGTAGCGGACAACTTCCCCGCTGCGTGCTGCCACGGTGGTCCTCGTCCCGCGGGTGGGGGCACCGTCTGCTGTCCTTGCCAAGCGCAAGGCGAAGGGCTGTTTGTGGCTGCAGAGCACGCGAAAAGGCAGAACAGGGGCAATTTGTCACTGCGCCCTTGCCGGAAGGGGGGTAACGGCAGGTTCCAGTAAACCCGAGCCATAAATCAAGAGGAACGGAGGCACTTTGGTAAGGTACCATGTGCACTGAATGCCAAGTGATGACCTGCAAAGAACGGTGGTGATGGTGAGCTCTGTATGCTTCCAGCAGTGAGGTCAGTGTCACCTGTAGAAGTCTGTAGTATAATTAAGCACACCTGTCAGCTGGAGAATTGATTGGGAGGTAGAAAGCGCTGGTGTGGCTCATGCTGTGGGGCTGTGTCTGCCTTTAAACTATGAGCTGATGAGAAGCGCTGGAGTTCAGTATTTACTACAAGGAGTAAAAAGTTAATGGCAGCAGTTGGAACATTGCTTCCAGTTGGAGCAAGCAGGATGTGACTTCAGAGATAGGTGTTATTACATAATGGCCCTGATTTACTGATGGGTAAGTTTGTAAGTTCTAGTTGGTGGTGCAGGGCTCTGCTGTAGCTTTTTAAAACCAATATGCACTGAGTTGCCAGGTGTCCTATGTGACTGTTCCTGAGTTATGTGAATGTTGGTGTTTTTTTTCCCCTAGAAATTAACTTTCATACATTCCAGTGTTGAAACAAGACAGCACAAAGGCCATTTATTAATCAAGTTTTCTATCCCTAAAATAAAACATGTTATCATTGAGCTTTAGCAGTTCTAGGCTCATCTTCTGTGTTATAAAGAAGAAACCTGAGCACCAAGGAAAAAGATGCATGACCAGTGTGTTTCCTAAAAAATCAGTTTCATTAGTTTAATTTCTTGTGCCCTTCTGCAAAGCAGAAATAAGCTGCCAGAGAATCAGTAGGACAAGTCTGAAAGGAATCCTCTCTCTCACCTGGATTAATAGTGCAGGATTTTGTGGTTAATACCACACTGTCAAATTTGTGCTGATCTCATCTGGAGCAAGCCTTTACTTTGTATGTCTGTGGAGTCATCTGCCTGATGAGCTTGTTCCTGGAACACTGTTCCCTGTTACCTGCCCAAGCACTGCAGCTGCATTAGTGAATAATCAATGGCCTTCTGAAATGCAGAGGATAAGGGTAGACTTTATGAAGGCAGTAACCCAGATCTGGAAGATTTTAAAGTCCTGCTTTGTCATAGATAGGTTAAGGCAGGTGTTGTATCTCAGATGTTTGCAACTGTGTGTTTACTCAGGGATCAGATGTAAAAGGGTGGGGGGAAGTGTCTGTATTAGTGTCTGCTGGTGTGCTGTGTGACACAATGCTTTTCTTTACAAATACAAATATTTCTCCCCTTGTTTTTATTCCCCCTGTGCCCCTTAAAGTGTAGCTAACAGCATGCCCTGCCTTTCTGGGTTTAATGCAGATAATTGCACTGTGGGCTAAAAAGGAATATGATGCTACATTTACCACACAAATTCCTGTGATGAATTTATTGTAGAAAATATTACAGCAAGCAACGTAATCCCAGTTTTATTCTTGTCCTTTATTTTGCAAAATGCTTGTATATCACTTATTTTACATTTTATCTGATCATATAGGAAAAAAAATAACCCACCAGTTTATGTCAAATCCAGTCTGATGTTGCTCACCCCAAAGGTTCTAGCAATCAATTTTTGCTTAAGTTAAGCCTGTCCACAGTGTCTTTAGGGTAAACTGAAAAGTCTTCAGGAGGGAATGACCACTCCAGATCTGTAACACATTTTAAAAGTACCTGTTATGTAATCCGGGACATTCTTTCCACTAGCTAAATTCAGATGCAGCTACCAAAGTAATCAGAGAAATGAGCAGGGCAATTTCATGAGTAAGAACTGTTATTTGCCTCCATTAGTTGTATTTTTTAGTCTATTAAATTAATGTATTTTAAATGTTCCATAATTTTCCAATTGTTCTGAGCAGGATGAGGAAGAGACTCTTATAATTCCAGGGGGCTGTTTTTAGCAAGGTTATTGAAATAACCCTGTGAGTGATTTCCTTTACAACTTTATAGGTCACCACCCTTCCTCTTGGAAATTGAAAATGTAACTTTTCCTTAACTTGTTGAACAATGCTTGCAGTGCACTGGTATCCTACAGCTTGCTGGAGTATTTAGATTACAGTATAACTGGCTTGAAAGAAAAAGATTTAACCTGCTTTGTTTGTGTATGCATAATAGTATGCATATACATATGGAATATATACATGCTGTCCATTTTTTGTTTCCTCTGGCATTAGTAGCAAGAGGCTTTGGGAAATAGGTTTGAGAAGGATTGACATATATTTTGCTGGAGTTGCATGTAATATAAATGAGATTTAATTTCATACCTAGTAATGACTTGGTGTAGTTACATTGTATTACAAGTCTGCAGGATGAGGGGGTTTTCCCCTGTCACAGTGAGATTCTCCCAAAGGACACCGCTGCCTAATTTGCCACTCTTAGCTTGTATGTCGCGAGTTTCTGTTTACTAATGCATGTATTTTTGCAAGATTTAAAGCCCCTTCATATGACAGCATGCAGGATCTGAACTGAATATTGACATTCATTGTAACTTTCCAGTAAAATTACTGTAAATTCTCTGTCAAAAGAATATGGCTCTTTTTGACATTCTGCAAAACACTGAAGGGTGACCATCATAGCCACTGGAGCACCTTGGATTGAGTTGGTTTATTGTGTTTCTAGCAAATCATAAAAACCAGTCACTGAACAGCAAAGTGGTAGGTTGATGGTGTTACGAATAAATCAGGTAGAAGTTGGTCTCTCACTAAATTAGGAGAGAAAAGACACAGCTGAATCTGCAAAATACATGACTTGCATCTGTAATTTTAAAACCTTATTTATTAGACGCGCGAGGTAAAAGTTGCAGGAAGGTGGCAGTTAATTGTGACTTTAGTAAGGCTCACAGATTTTGCACTGAGTGCCCTTCTGAGGGAAGCAAAATGTATTTGCAGATTATGAGGAATTTGCAATAGCCTTTGTGTCTGACTGAAATACAATATAAACATTTGGGGACTAGTTTCCTTGCTGGTATAGATACACATCAATATCCCTGCCAAGAATTTTTGGTGATAATTTAACAGAGAGAAAATTTTCATAATAGAATTTTGTTGTTATTGGAAGAGCAGCTGGGATATACCACAGCAATAAGCAGAACCATCTCATACATGCACTAGTTCCCTACCAAGAGCTTCTTTTAAATCAGTTCAGGAGAGTAGAAGAGGAAAAAAAAAAGAGCTTCAGTAGTCAAGCAAGCTCTATAAAAAGCTTTTTCTGATAATCAGATTAATATCACTTAATGTACAAATGTTTCATTGTGTAACAAAAATGCAGTAAAGGCAATTATATAAGCAATGCTCTTATTTGTTAGTGTCAGAGTAGTGCATACTACTAGATTGCAGTTGCTGTGTCCAGACATTGGATTTTTTTCCTGTTCTATATTCATGTTAGAACACATTTCCACTGCATCTAGCTAAACTTTTCAGTGAGCATCATTTAGTAGAACTGGGCCTAAGGGGTATTTCTGTGGCTTGGGTCTAGCTATTATATTGCTTTATCATTGTCACATCTGATTGGATTAGGCAATGGTTACACACTTCTTATAGCCAACTAAAATTGTGTTTTAATAAGCAGTTTATGACTGAGTAAACAACTGGGGTTTATATAGGTTTTGCCATGACTGATCAGAAAATGTAACTTTGCTTTTTTATGTCACATTTGCTTGAAATGCACAATTAACTCTCTTCCCCTTCCTGTGTGCCCCTACTAATGAATGTGATATCTCAGCCAGGCGTCAGGGTGTTCTGAAAGCTCAGCTGTATTTCAGCTTGCCTTGCTCTGGACTTTAAATTTCTGGGAGTTGGGATTTTTTTGCTGTTGCTTTTTCCTCTCTGTTTGGGCTCAGGAGGAGAGTAAAGCCTACATCCAGCTGCAGTCCTTGAAGATGAAATTTGATAGGTGAATCCTGATAGGTTATACAAGGAGACTTCCAGGATGCTTAGTATGCTGCTTAAAATTATTTGCTGTTACATGGCCAGACTTGTGCATTTAGACAGTGGTTGTTACATTTTCAATGTCGTTTAACAGCCAGAGATCCCTGGTCACTAGCCCTTGGTGGTACCGACTGATGCGTGTACCTTAAGACAGGTTTCAATGACAAGTCTTTAACTTCTCATTGAAAACTTAGAGCATTAGTTTGTCTATAGGAGTTAGCCAGGACAAGCTTAGTAATGTTAAGTAATTCCAGAAACGCCATTATATCTACAATCTGTTGTTTTATATATGGCACCCTTCAAAGTATACCATGAAAACTTGAGATAGAGGAAAATGGTATGGGTGGCACACTGCACTTCTGAAAGTGCCATAAGTGTCTGAAATGGTGAGATGCAGAGATCCTAAGGAGAAGGGAGTAGTGTGAAAGCCAAATTGTTGCACGTGAAGCTGTTCTTTGGTGGTGCATGTCTGTTTCC